GCACTATTTATCAATCTGTAATAAAAATCTGTAGAGAAAAGAAGAAACATTTTTGAGGCGAAATACGCAAAAAGAAGTTTGTAAAAAATTAATCCACCTCAACAATATAGAACTTATCTACAACTTTAATACAGGGTGTTCCGTAAGTTAAAATATTTTAACAGCGTGTTCTCCTAGTCATTTTAGAGGGGGGCCTTCCTGAGAATTTTTTAAATTTGAAGTCTGATTTTTGAGATATTTGATCTCCAAAATGGCGAAAAATATTAGTTTTTGTTGTTTTTCTTTAAAACGGTTAAACATAGAAACTTCCCATTCTATGGTAGTGTTTTGTAGTTTTTTTGTGCACCTAAACTTTTATCAGCATACCTTTTTTAATTACTCTAAGTTATTTATCAACTTTTTTACATCTTTGTTCTTTCCTAAGGGCATTAGTTTGCTCGCAAAAAAATAAATTGTTTGGGCTTGATCAACACTTTCCAAGCCGTTGGATTGGGAGAGGTCAAGAAGCTCCTATAATCTCGCCTCCTAGATCTCCCGATCTAAACGCGCTTGATTTTTACTTCTGGGGCCATAAAAATATGGTGTATTCAACAGAAGTGAATACAATCGAAGAACTTCAGGAAAGAATATTTAATATTTCTAACGAAATAAGAACTTCAGTGCAAACTTTACGGCCTGTAAATTTTAATTTCATTAAATAACTGCGATTATGCCAAGAGTGTGACCAATTTTAACAGCTGCTAAGTTAACATTAGAAGTTATTCAAATTTAATTTTGTCTGTTTAATTCGCTGCGCATATTGTCACCATGTTATTATTTAAGTAAAATTTATACAAACTTAATAATTGTAATCTGAACGAATATACACAATTTAGAAAAATAATATAGGTTGTTAGTAATCAACTAATAATGCGTACCAAAATTATTATATGAAAACGTTATTACATTTTAAAAAAATAACTAATTATTTACACATTTTGAGAACGGCAAATAAAACGATTTTATTTTTTTGCGGGCAAACTAGTGGTCTTAGGAAAAAAACAGTAAGAGATAAAAAAGATGGTAAATAACTTGTAGTAATTAAAAAAAAATATGTCAACATAAGTTTAAGTGCACACAAAAAAGTTCTGAATAAAACAAAAATAGGGGTTCCACATTTCTACCCTGTATAAAAACAAACTGAACCACAAATCATAATCATAAAATGGCACTCAATTAGCTTATAATGTGTACCAAAATTGAAGTTTCTATGTTTAACCGTTTTAACGGAAAACAACAAAAACTAATATTTTCCGCCATTTTGGAAATCAAATATCTCAACAACGAAACCTCAAATTAAAATAATTCTCAGGAATACCTCTAAAATGACCAGAATAACACGTTGTTAAAATATTTTAACATATTTACGGAACACCCTGTATTCCATAAAACGAATATTTTATTAATTTCTCAAATATCTAACAACTTTAATCACGTTATAGTCACAGTATTAATGAAGTAGATTAAACACTTGCTTCGATGGCCGTTAATGTTCGGAAAAAGCCTCCTAGGTAATTCTAGGTAATACTGAAATCTAAAAAAAGTTTCTTGGATTCATATTTTTTTAAACATACTTTTTTTATACACGAACAAATGTATCTTGACAATAGAGCGGTTTGTAAAACCATTGATCCATTTCCCCGTCAGAAAATCTACTGAACGTTGGGCGACATAAAATGGCGAATGAATCAAGAGTAAGGAGGTTTCGCCATATCACGATTTTCTTGTTTTATTCCTCAATAAAAGACACTCATGCTCTTAAACTCTTATGCGTTAGTATCGGAATCAGTCACGATATAACATTTAAGCTAATCTCTTTGCTTGATGGAAAGTCATTGCGTTCATGCAAATGGATGTAAACTACATTTCTAAAAAATGTGCGTGGAAAACAAGCTGATGGAAATCATTGCCTACTAAATAATCTACAAACGATACATACGATCTGTCCAATATGTTTTCAGTCTCCTTGAATCTGGAAAACACAGGGAAACTGGTTTAGAATGTATTAGAATGAAGAATCTCATCAAACTAAAGGATTTTCTTATAAAGAAACTGCTCTACAATACATAGAAAATACAAATATAAGTCCTGAAATAACGGGAAAATAGTCTTCAACTGTCCAACTTTGGGCTGTACAGTATCGCTTGTTTCTTAATATGGTATAAAATGGCCCGTTTAGAGAGTGTTTTTAAATATTTGCTTAGCAATACTACATAAAAAACAGGAAAACCATACTCAGAATATACTTAAGTTCCAAAATTGATAAAATGCCGATTTTTGCAAGAAGATGTAAACTATTCTAACCAGATGGAGCCCTGATCAGCCCTACATTGATTTTGTACTATATGGATCTGTTTGCAGATAATTACGGTAGAATAGCGGCCTGCTGATACAAAATGGAACGCAGAATACGAAACATCGGTGTAAGCTGAATATAGGTTAACACGGGACGGCTCCTTCCTCTGGATTATACTTATACTTTACACTTCAAGTATTTGCAATTTTGCATGACTTCGAACGATCTTTTAAGGCCTATTCTATCTCCGAAAAAATTACGTTAATAAAAGGTGCGAAGAAGCACTTGAGTGATTAAGCAAAGGTGCATGCTCAATATTAAAAAGCAAACAACATTCTAAGTAGCAAGTACGTATACCTTGAGTGCCCTAAATATAGGATTATAGAAAAAAAATTAGGCACAAATTGCGTCGGTTAAATTTTAAAAAAGTGTTCACACATTTAAAAAACATTGGCCTGAAGACAGGTATTCAAATACTGAAAGCCATTCGAAGGTGGTTTCGAAAAATCGACATTGTCAGTAATTTTTTAATTAGTGGAAAAGAGCCGTCATTGAAAATGAAAATATGGCAATTCTTTGACCTGATGTCAGTGGTAAACGCACCAGAAGACAATCATATAATAAATAAGGTAGTAAAATACGTAAATAACAGAGTTTCTGCATGTACAGGAAATAATCCGAATTTGGTCAGGGTTGAGAAAGATGCGTCTGCAATTTATACTTTCACTCTATTGAGAAGCAGATATAAAATTGTCTGTGCAAGATTCTTTAGGGCCTTGTTTCATAGCAAAAACCATAAATATGTCAATATATAAGAACATAACAGCACTGGTCAGATTAATTTTAGCTTCTGAATTAAGAATTCATCAAGAGTTGGTACTTTAAGTGGTCGCTATTTTACAATTATTTATGACCTAGAGAATACGGAAGCGTTCGCAGAAGAAAATAAGGAAATCATCCCGAAAATATTTCGTTAATGGAGATAAGTTGTCTTTTAAACCAGTTATACCAGTTTTCTCAAAAACGTTTTTTGTACATTAATGTCGTTGCTGTCTAGGTGACTATGTTAACGTCAGATTAATTAACATGTTAACAACGAAATTGACTTAGTTTTCTAAACTTACCTTTCGCTTGCGATGGACGAGTTTCTGGACATCGATTTGGGCGACATTTCGAAGTCGCTGTCCGAGCGATAGAGGAAACTTTCACGACGCTGTGGTAAATTTTGCAGAACCAATCCAGCGGATGGCGAAGCACTGCCGTCCAATGGACTGCGACCTGGACTAGCTCCATTTTCAACATCAAAACTGAAAAAAGCAAAAATAAACAATTACTTTTAAGTTTATTGCCTAATCGGAATAAAACTGCGAACAAAGTATAAATGCTCCTTCCTCATGAAACACCTTGCATACCTATGGTAAATATTAACTGGCAAAGTCTTCCATTTGTTAGAATATCGAGATGGGCTGAATTATCGAAAATTAAAAAGTTTTTTGAAAACGCATTTAACATTCGCATTTTTTATTTCAAACATATAATGAAATAAAGCTCAGAAAGTCACAGAACATTTCATGTTTAGAATAAATCGATCAATACAGACATGTTTGAGTTGCGAGTTGGTTTTTCGGTTAATTCTACTCTTTGTCAATATACCCATCGGTACCTACTTTTAGTACTTTCATTCCTACCATCTGTTTTTCATTGATAAATCGCCGATCGGTAGAATTTAATGTTGCTGCGAAACAAATCAGGATTTATGAATGACTAGCTTGGTCTATTTATTAATATCTTTGGTTTCATTAAACATTTGTCAACGGAAAATATGTTTAGTTGCGCGTTATGTTGATTATTCTGTTAATCATCTTTCGTCTATAAGAATTATTGTTGAGTTCTCCAGGAACCATAATATTGTCTAGTTTCGGTGATGATAGAAATCAGCATTTTTAGTCTATAAGTATTACTGTTAATGTGGATTATTTAATGTTATTGTTGACTTAATAACACGCGTAAATAATTCAAATGCTGTTACAAAAACTGTGGTGCCCCATCAATCAGAGAAAGTTCAGGTAAAAAAGAGACAAGAGGAAGACTAGAATTTAAAAAAATTTTGACAAACTTGTTTCATAACAAAAACCTTTGAATATAAAACTAAGTTAGTTTTATAATCAAAGGCTAAAACACAGGTATATTAGTACTTCAGTTCCATCGAGAGATTAAATTCCAAAGCGGGTGCGAAAAATTATTCTTAAATGTTAATTAATTTTTAAATAAAATTTAGCTTTTTAAACATTTTCGCATGCAAAGCGTATCTTTTATTTAAACCATTCGATTTTATTATCAGTTTTTTTTTCGTTTTAGTAGTTACTTATAACCCATGTTTTGTTTTTATTTTTAGAATTTATCATTTTTATTTTACCAATGCTAGGAATATTTTTTTTTAATAAACTAAATCATTATCTATCATCACTATTTCTACCATCATTATCATTGCGAATTTTTAATGAAAAATTTTAAAAGTAACATCTTACTTTTGTAACCTAATACCAAAATGAAACTGAAACGTTGGAACCTGGAAAATAACCGTTTGCCACACCTCTACAAACTACAAAATTTAGAACGCATCCCAAATTTTGAAACAATGGTTTGAACGAGTGGATGGCAGTGGATGACTAGTGAAGCTTTCTGTGAGACCAACGGGAATCGCATATCTTGGAAATCTGCTTGATAGTTACCGGTGGTTCTGTGGGACCACCGCCACTTACTGACTTAAGTCAGAAGATCAAGGGCGTTTAGTAGGAACTACTTTGTGTTTACTCTAAGTCATACTAGCTATACTCTAGCCATTTGTTCCTGTTAGTATATTCGAATATTATATGAGAAGGGATAATAAATTTCCTTAATTACACCAGTCATTATCTAGTATCAATAACAATTCCTAGTTAATTTCGGCGTAGTGTATTATATAGGCAAACTATTCTCACATGTCTGCTGGAGAGGCACATTTCCCAACTTTATCAGAAGAGTAAAGCCTTTGCGACCATTCGGTACTTCAAAGGCGATTCGCTCGAAAGCTTACATTGTACTGATTTCCAAACTTTACATAGCGCACGTTTAAGTGCTTTCATAAACAATATGAACAACCTAAGCAGCATCAATATTTACCTGATAAGTACTTAAAAAGTAATCACAAAGGATTGTATATAATTGTAATTGTAGTTGGCATTAAAACTGATTATTAAATTAAAGAAACAATCATATATTTTTCAAACAAATGTTGTTAAACCTGCCAGGCTGTTGCCAAATCTTTTAGGGATATTATTGCATTATTTTAAACTTGATTTAATAAATGGAAACGTTTTAAATTTCAATTTCCCAAACCCTCTACCAGAACAGGCCATATTACCCAGGTAGGAGATACATTTCGTCAAATAAATTGGGATTTTTATCTGCTGCCATGCCTAAATAGTAAAGTTTTGAGCGCGTTTCTAAATACGAAATTCTATGCCATTTTGAAATACCTGAATATCTATCGATGGCTAATTCAGGCGATTCAGCTAAGTCTTCTTTTGTAATATCAGCTATTTTAAAAAGTGAGCGAATAACAGGTTCAAGCCGTTATTATGAATTTTGAAGCAAATGTTTCAACTTTACGTAACATTCATGATGTTACTTTTCCTGACTGTACTTCACTGTACTTACGTAACATTGAAATTTACTGGCTGATATTTAGCTGCAAAATTCATTAGGAAACATACATTAGGGTTGCTTTTCAGTTTCCAAATGAAAACTCCAGCGTCTACAGTGTAATTTAAAAAAAACAGTATTAGTATCTTTATTTTAATAAATCGTTTAACCCAGTTGATACCTACTGCGAAGTTCTTCCAGGAATTTTCATAGGTTTCCGGTTCTTCATATTTTTCACTATTTGGGCAACGGACATCTTGCTCGCAAACACGGTATATCCTTTATTCAGTTTCAGTAAATGATTGTGCTTCAAGAGTAAACATATGAAAACGCCATCAGGCTTCACCACAAAGAAACTGTTTTGTTTAGCACTTAGCAGATGTAGTATCACATCCGCCAAAATAATACCTTTAGAAACAAATTACTATGATGACTAAATGGTTATAGCTGAAGCGATAAAGCACTAAAGCAAAGGATTAGAGGAGCAATCAGGTGTTGAGTTAATTACACACTCTTCATTACTGTTACTTCACATTTTAAGGTAAATGTTAGTAGCCAATGCTAAAAACTTCAATTATCTAGAGTAAACTTTAGCATAGAATCATTATCTACAAATGATTGACCGGGTATATGAACTGGTTTGCTATATATTATATATTCTATCGTCAAAAACAAGACAAAAAATAAAAGTCCGTAAACGCTTTAGTACGCAGATATAAGATGCAGAAGTAAATTTAAAAAATGTTTTGCTCTTCAGCTCTTACCGCTTATATAACTCATAACTCAAACGTGCTTGGATTGAAAAGAAAACCTAATTAGACAGAAAATCGGGAGTAAAATTAGTATGTAGTTAAAACAGCTGTAAGTATCTGGTAAACGAACCGTTAGTGCAGCAATGTTCATCAGAACTTTCCATCTTAATTTTGCTGGTAGAATTTGCAGTAAAAATTAAAATAATTTGATCAGTCAGTAGGTCAGTAATAGGGCAAAATCGATAAACTGCATGTCGACAATAAATTTTCGACCAAGCCTCGAGTGGTGTAGCATCTACTCAAACTGAAAATCATTGGATTTCCAACTATTGCTTCGTTTCGAGAACATTTTGTCTTTCACTCTACCCAAACTGGATTTAAAGCTAAAATCGGTTTCATGAGAACAGATGTTAAATATATGATGTGTAATAAAAAATTGTCAAGTTAATATTTTGTTTTTTGAAAAATTAAAGAAGCGTGCCGTTTTGTAGCTATTATTGTTATCACTATTAATATAAGTAAAATTTCTCCGACAGCTATAATACTAATACATTTCACGGAGAAATGGTGGATTTAGTATAAAATTCAGTACCCAGATTCCCCCCTAAGAATGATGAATAAAAGACACATCAAAATTATTAACTCTATTAAGGATTTGCGCGAATATGCATATGTTATATAATAGATAGATAGTATTAAAAAATAGGTCGTATGATGTACAGGTTTCCTATGTCAATTTTACTAGAATAACAAAACATAATAAATCAACAACAACAGCACTCTAATATTCTGTAACGTTTTGCGAAGTAAATGATCAACAAGTTCTTCATCATTTTGAGCACACAAGCCAATATTTTTACACAAAAGATTTTTATCTATTTGATTATACTCGTATAACTTATAAAGTACAAGTTATTTTGTGCCTTACATATTGGTCGATTCTTTGCATTTTATATGAAGTTGCAATATTATCTTATTATTCGAAAAGTAATATAACCAATTAAACTGCTGTCTCAGAAAAAATCAAATATTTAATTAGCGCTTTCTAGCTCTAAGTTTAAAATTTATCCAAAGCGATAAAATACATTGTTGTGAACTTCGTATGCTGACCATTTAACTATTAAATGAATCAATTGTAATATTATTTGATTCCTTTTAAGGGTGAATTATGCATTAGAAACAAACTTTAAAGTTTATTACTAATTATCTTTTTCCAAAATAGCAGCTAAGTGTACTTACTGTAAATACTGTAACGTTAATACACAGAAAATTAACCTTTTTGAGTATGAAGCCCCTTCTAACGTAGACTCGTTTTTAATCAATGGAAATCATGTCTGTAGGAAAATACGAAATATTTAAAAAGAAACTTCTTGAGCGTGATACAAACTAGATTTTTGGTAGATGTAGATACGGTAGAGGGTGTATATCGCATAATATACATCTACGTGTTTTATAAGTAATATTTTAAACATGAGACAACATGGTTTCTCGAAAGCACATTTACGACACTGAGAACACTGGATCAGCGTTCAATGTGAATTTCCGTCAATTAATAAATAGATGAGAGTAATACAGGAAAATATAAAAAATACGTGTAAAATTAAAAAAAAAACAGAATCGGCGAAATGTTATGCTGGAAAACTTGACATTGGATTTGTGGGTACTGATTGTAGTTCCACATTGACAAGGAAATTTATGTCTTTTTTCATGTGCCTTGTAGGATGTTTCTTTAGGTTTAGAAAGATAAACAATGTGCCCATGTTAATTTTCAGAAAAATGCATACCAATTACTACTTAAAATGACCTAAAGTCCACATCTTCTCATTTGCATTGTTCTGTTATGACTGATGTGGATGAAAATAAATAAAACA